ATGATCGAGATAGTTTGCTTCCGAGTCTCGTCTGCCCCACGGGCCTCAACAATACGATCCAACCTTGCGAAATTTATCGTTGTGCTTTCCCTGGCTCAATGGCCGGTGTGCCTCGTCACAGCGTGCTCTGACATAGGACGACGTACCTGCAAAGCCTTGCTCACGCATGTGGCAATTGCAATGATGCCGTTCGTCCTTTGGCTCACTGTCCTTTCGCGCGACAGATATCGATGCCTCTTTAGCTTGCTGATGTTGAGCGTGTTGGGGATATGTTCGCCCTCTTGGAGTTCCCTGTGGGCCATATGGGCACTCTATTGGGTGGTCTCCGTGGCCTCTTCAGGCCCAGATCGTATTTCAGGAGTTCTAGCGCGTCGTGAATGCCTCTTGGCGCTCACTTCGGCAGTCTTGGGGATTTCTTCAGCCCCACATGCTCCCGGAAGCCCCAAGAAGCTTTGGCAATGGGAATGTGCGTGGTTGGGCCATCCCTAGATTCAATTATTGACGCTTCGCGTATCTCCACCAGTCTTGGGTTTATGACGGTCTCGTCCCTCGGGTGTTATCCGACTCTGCTGGGTAGCGCTGAGTCACTTTGGATGTGCACACGTTACGCGTCCGTGTATCGTGCACTACTGCGCCCCTCCACTTGATGGATCTGGGCTGACGCATCTCAGTTGTGGAAGGTTCTCCTGTCATCATGCTCCACACCCTGGATGCGCGTTCTGGCGTCGCGACTCGGAGTCGCCGTCTGGATTTTCCGCTGGACTTACGTCCCCAGTCAGTCTGTGTTACCCGTCAGACTCCCTGGATCGATGTCCTCGGGAACGTTCCTTTGTTCGCATCTGGACTTCTGGGAACGCTTCACGCGCCATTTTGGCTGCGCTTGGTCTCCTCGGTGCCTGTCCTCAGGCTCCCTGGATGCACCGTTGCATGCCCGTTCTGGGGCTGTCTCAGGCTCCCTGGACTGCACGTCGGCTCTGCCGCCCTGAGCGCTGCCCCCCCCCCGCCGCCCGATCCGCAGCCCCCGCGCGCGCTCGGCAATTTAGTCGCGGCCGTAGCCCGCCCGCGACCTCCCGCCGCTGGCGCTTCCGCCTGCGGCTGTAAACAAAAAAGTATCTCCACCAGTCACTGGCTTGCTGCTGTGCACGCGGCATACCCCCCCAGCTCAGTCCCGACAGCTCTCCATCTGAGGCTTCGGCCGCGCTTAGTTGTCGCCTCGCCCGTCGCTCTGTTCCCGCCTGTCCCTCGCAGCTCGACGCATGCGTGCACCCCTGGCAGTGCAGCTACCCTGGCAGCCGCCGTCAGCAGCCTGCCTCCACTCGCCGGCCTGGCCGCCGAGGTGCCGCGTGAGGCTTCGGCCCATTGGCTTGAGGTTAATTCGTTTTTGCGCGCCCCGCTCTGACTGGACACGCCGTCGGCGCCTTCGCCTGCGGCCGCTGACTAAAAAGTATCTCCACCAGTCCATCAAGAATCGATGCCCGTGAGAGCTGTCTGGAGGAGAGACGTGGGGAAGCACATAGATTGAAACCTCGACCTTTTCATGTGATTCTTCAACCAGTATTGAGCTGGGGAAGGGCTGCGGGATCCGCGGGGGCAGAGCGTCGCACTTGGAACACAAGACGTGCGAAACAACAACATCTGAACTGACCTTTGATATCGCAGTCTCGGGGCAGATCCACGCACACTCGGAACACGTATGCCGCAGCCGCAAGGATTCTTAGTCGTGTTGATAGGGTTGTCGAGTGCTGGGCGTGCATGTCCCTGGGGGATGCGACAGATCTACGTGATTGAGATGCAGGCCTTCGCTGTCCCGAAAAGCCGTGGGCGTCAAAATCCGAAGAGGGGTTTTTTACGATGGGCGGGATGAGCGAGACGGAGGTGGACAAGGTACCGGGGACGGGGAGGGAGGGGAGAAGGTGGAAGGAGGAGAAGGAGGGGAATTACGAGGAAGAGGAAGAGAGGGATCAGGACCAGGAGTAGCACATGGGGAGAAGAGGGAGAGAAAGAGGGGAAGGACGAGGCGGACGAGGCGGGCGAGGAGGACTTCCGGGATGACCCCTCCCCCGAAGCCAGGGAGACAGAGCACGCGCCTACATGATGGTGTCACCTTCGGCGCGGCCCCCCGCGAAATGACCCTGCTAGCCCCCACCGGATGTTTGTAACACGGCCGTTGTTCCCGGCCGTCTTGCGGTGTTGGGTCTTCGTTTTGAAGAGACGGTCCCCTTGTTCCTTCCCTCCCTCCTTCCCTCCCTCCTTCCTCCTCCCCCTCCTCCCTCCTCCCATCCCTGCCTCTGCCGTGCGCATGTCCTCAGCGTTTCGTGGCCACAAAGGGAGCTCCACCTGAGGTCCCAGTGGCGGTGCCCACATGCGTCTTCCCCACCCACTACGGCTTTTCGTGGCCACGTAGGGAGCTCCACCGAAGGCCCCAGCGGCGGTGTCCACATCCGTCTCCCTCACGCAGTACAGCGCTTCCTGGCTCCATAGGGAGCTCCACCTAAGGCCCCGGTGGCGCTGTCCACATCCGCCTCCCCCACCCAGCACAGCGCTTCGTGGCCACGTAGGGAGCTTCACCTAAGGCCCCAGTGGCGGTGTCCACATGCGTCTCCCCCGCCCAGCACAGCGCTTCGTGGCCACATCGGGAGCTCCACCTAAGGCCCGAATGGCTGCAATCGCATGCGTTCCCCTGCCCAATACAGTGGTTCCTGGCCCCATCGGGTGTTCACCGAAGGTCCCACTGGCGGTGTCCACATGCGTGTCCCCACCCAGCACGGCTTTTCGTGCCCCATAAGGAGCTCCACCGAAGGCCCCAGTGGCGGTGTCCACATGCGTTTTCCCCGCACGGTACGGCGCTTCGTGGCCCCATAGGGAGCTCCACCGAAGGCCCCAGTGGCAGTGTCCACATGCGTCTCCCCCACACAATACGGCGTTTCGTGGCTCCCATGGGGAGCTCCACCGAAGGCCCCAGTGGCAGTGTCCACATGCGTGTCCCCACCCAGCACGGCGTTCCGTGGCCCGCCCGTAGGGCGCGCCATTGAAGACCCCAGTGGCGGTGTCCACATGCGCCTCCCCCACCCATCGCGGCGTTTCGTGGCCCCATACGGAGCTCCACCTACGGTCCCAGTGGCGTTGTCCACATGCGTCTCCCCCACCCACTACGGCGTTTCGTGGCCACGTAGGGAGCTTCACCGAAGGCCCCAATGGCGGTGTCCACATGCGTCTCCCCCGCCCAGCACAGCGCTTCGTGGCCACATCGGGAGCTCCACCTAAGGCCCGAATGGCTGCAATCGCATGCGTTCCCCTGCCCAATACAGTGGTTCCTGGCCCCAACATGGGGTTCGCCGAAGATCCCACTGGACCTATTCACATGCGTCTCCCCCGCTCAGTACAGCGTTCCGTGGCCCCGTAGGGAACTCCATTTGAGGCCTCAATGGCACCGTCCACATGCGTCTCCGTTTCGTGGGAGGTCCATTTAAGGCCCCATCGGCGGTGTCCATATGCGTTTCCCCTACCCAGTACAGCGTTTCGTGGCCCCGAAGGCCCCAGCGGAACCGTTCACATTCATCTCCCCGCCAGGACAGCGTTTCGCAGCCCCGAAGGCCCGAATGGACCTGTTCACATGCGTCTCTCCAACACGTTACAGCGTTTCGTGGCCCATAAGGGGCTCCACCGAAGGCCCCAGTGGCAAAGTTCGAATGCGTATCCCCCGCCCTTTTACAGCGTGTCGTGGCCCATAGAGAGCTTCACTGAAGGCGATACCCACAACTGCGGTATTCACAACTGCATATGGTTGGTTCTTTCGCCAGGCTAGTGTTTTTTGCAAGGGATGGGGGGGGTCGGGGGCATTGCACACAGCAGGCAATATGCCGACACATCCGCCGTCCCTGTCAAAAACCTGTGCAAAGTGATCGCGTGGCGCCCGCGCATGATCCATATGTTGATGCAAAGTGCACGTTGCCTTGTCTTTTTTGCAAGGTATGGTGGGGGGCGTTGGCATTTCACACAGCAGGCAACATGTCGGCACCCTGGCCGCCTCTGTCAAAACAACAATACAAAGTGATCTCGAGATGTCCGCGCGTGATCCAGATGTTGGTGCCTTATACCCTTATGTATTCTGTATTGTTTTTTGTTGCAAGGGATGACTCGGGTTTGTCGCTGGAGGGGTGGTGGTGCTTGTTAATGAGGAGCAGTGAGAAGCCCCGAATGGGGAAGGAAAAGGTCTTGGAAGATGGAAGAAAGCAAATGGCTACAACTCCTCTGCCTCGAGTGCTGGTGGGATTTTGGATCCCATGTGGGGGTCTACAAGGCGGGAGCACCTCACATTGTCAATCGCCTGGACCCCAATGAACACTATCATCGTATAAGCGTCCTTCCTATCCAGACACAGGCCTAGGACCCGTTCCTGTTGATGGTGCAGTGCGTCGGATGCCAGGCCTCCATGCTCGCACTCATTCGTTGCACGTGCTGCTGCAGTACTCACTAAGCCTCCTCAAAGCCTGCTCGCATGTGACGGTGATCGCGGCTGTGCCCGTAACCATTCCGACTCAGGCCGTCTCTGACTCTGGTGCGGGCGCCGCACCCCCTAGCCAGACAGCAGCCCCCCCAAGGCGCCCGCTGCAGCCAGGCCTCGCCACCGCAGCAAAGATGGGCTGCAGCGGGAGCAAGCAGGCCGGCGCAGCGCTGCCCGCGGTGGCCAAGGCGCCCCCTTCGCCCACGATGCTGACGGCGCCGGCGCCGGCGCCGGTGAAGCCCAGCGGCAAGGGCTCCGGGAAGGGCAGGGGCGGCGGCAAGGGCAGGGCCAAGGCGGGCAGGTTCCAGATCAAGCTCTCTGGCGACTTCAAGGACTACGAGCCAGAGGAGGACGCCGTCCTGAAGAAGGCCTACCTCGTCGGGCAGAAGAACTGCCGGTTCCAGCTGCGGGGCCAGAGCTACGAGTACAGCTTCCAGAACATGACGCAGACGAACCTGGGCACGAAGAAGGTCCGCGACATCCGGCCGCCCTGAACATGCCGCAGCCGTCAGCGCCGCTGCTCCCCGCGGGCCCGATGGTCGTGATCACGGTGCGGAAGGGCCAGGCCGGGAAGGAGATCGAGCTCGACGACCCCAACAACAGGGGCAGGAAGATCAAGGTGAACGTCCCGCCGGGGGCCAAGGCGGGCCAGAAGATGGCGGTGCCCGTGCCGGAGGTCGGGGAGTCCGTGGCGGCCGTGGCGGAGAAGCAGCAGAAGCACGGCGCCGCCGCACGGCTCGCGCTGGGCGTCGGCGGCGTCGCTGCGGTGGGCGCCCTGGCGGTGGGCGGCGTCGTCCTCGGGGACCACCTCACGGGCGGGCACCTCGGGGTCGCCGACGCGGCCGAGGGGTACGCCGAGGACGTCGCCGACTGGGCGCCCGGGGCCGCAGAGGACGCGGGCGAGTGGGCGGCGGGCGCCGCCGAGGACGCGGCGAGTGGGCCACGGGGGCCGCCGAGGACGTCGCCGACTGGGCCGAGGGCGCGGGGGAGTGGGCGGAGGGCGCCCTCGAGGATTCGGTGGACTGGCTCGAGGGCGCCGCGGACGACGTCGGGGACTTTGTCACCAGCCTGTTCTAGGCGCCAGGCCCGCACCGGGCTCGGTAGTCAGTGGTCGGCCCTGGCGCGCCTAAAGGACCGCGCCAGGCCTCTTGCTCACCACCCTCCTCCTCCTGTGCGAGCCGCCGGGAGCGGCCATGAGCTCCCAGTGCGGGGTACGCCCCCTCTCCCTGGGCGCGCCTAAAGGGCCGCGCCGCGTCTTGGCCGAGCGTCCGGAGCCTCTAAGCAGGACGGGCCTCGGCTTCCGCCTTCCTCCCCGACTCGCGCCGGGTCCCTGCATAAGGCCTCGGGCCAGGCTGCCATGGGGGCCTGCGGAGGCAGGCTCCCGCACCCTTTTTTTGCAACCTACGCTGCAGCTGCTGCCCTCGAGCGGGAGCCTGCGGCGGGAGAGAACAAAGCTCTGGACTCCTGCGCCGCGGTGGTGCAGCGCCTTGGATGCGCTGTATTGCTTCTCGCGCTCATGGCGCCTTGGGGCTCCATTGGGTCCTGCAGGGGAGCCGCGGAGGCCTCCGGAGGGGAGAGGCGCGGCGCGGTGGCACCGCTCGCGCGTGGCCACCTGCCCCCTCTCCGCATGCAGTCAACCCTCATGGTAAGGATGGGCGAGCCTCCGGTCACATTGCATCCTTGCCTCCTCGGTCCATCCGTGGCCACGTGTGTTGGCCGCGCCCCGCTCGGAACAAAAAGCTTCGAGATGGCCTTCCATGGGGCCCTTGCATCCTTCTGGCGCATCCTTGCAATTACGTGCCGACGGGAGAGGGCTTCCTTCGTTGGGACCTCCACGCTTGCTGCCCTGTCCGACATGCCCGCGCGCCTCCTCAAGGGGGGGCTGGGGCGGGTTGACCTGCACGCAGCTTGCGCACACATTTTGCCTGCGGGATGGGGGGATCGCGGCCTCTGCTGGGCTCTGCTCGGGAAGTGGCCAAGAGGGTGCCCGGGAGGGGTCGGCGCACAAGCTTGAGTGGATTCTGGCCGGGAGGAGTTGTGTTTTGAGGCCCGCGTGATCGAGATAGTTTGCTTCCGAGTCTCGTCTGCCCCACGGGCCTCAACAATACGATCCAACCTTGCGAAATTTATCGTTGTGCTTTCCCTGGCTCAATGGCCGTTGTGCCTCGTCACAGCGTGCTCTGACATAGGACGACGTACCTGCAAAGCCTTGCTCACGCATGTGGCAATTGCAATGATGCCGTTCGTCCTTTGGCTCACTGTCCTTTCGCGCGACGGATATCGATGCCTCTTTCGTTTGCTGATGTTGAGCGTGTTGGGGATAGTTTCGCCCTCTTGGAGCTCCCTGTGGGCCATATGGGCACTCTATTGGGTGGTCTCCGTGGCCTCTTCAGGCCCAGATCGTATTTCAGGAGTTCTAGCGCGTCGTGAATGCCTCTTGGCGCTCACTTCGGCAGTCTTGGGGATTTTTTCAGCCCCACATGCTCCCGGAAGCCCCAAGAAGCTTTGGCAATGGGAATGTGTGTGGTTGGGCCATCCCTAGATTCAATTATTGACGCTTCGCTTATCTCCACCAGTCACTGGCCCGCTGCTGTACACGCGGCATACCCCCCCAGCTCAGTCCCGGCAGCTCTCCATCTGAGGCTTCGGCCGCGCTTAGTTGTCGCCTCGCCCGTCGCTTTGTTCCCGCCTGTCCCTCGCAGCTCGATGCATGCGTGCACCCCTGGCAGTGCAGCTACCCTGGCAGCCGCCGTCAGCAGCCTGCCTCCACTCGCCGGCCTGGCCGCCGAGGTGCCGCGTGAGGCTTCGGCCCATTGGCTTTAGGTTAATTCGTCTTTGCGCGCCCCGCTCTGACTGGACACGCCGTCGGCGCCTTCGCCTGCGGCCGCTGACTAAAAAGTATCTCCACCAGTCCATCAAGAATCGATGCCCGTGAGAGCTGTCTGGAGGAGAGACGTGGGGGAGCACATATATTGAAACCTCGATCTTTCATGTGCTTCTTCAACCAGTATTGAGCTGGGGAAGGGCTGCGGGATCCGCGGGGGCAGAGCGTCGCACTTGGAGCACAAGACGTGCGAAACAACAACATCTGAACTGACCTGTGATATCGCAATCTCAGGGCATATCCACGCACACTCGAAACACGTATGCCGCAGCCGCAAGGATTCTTAGTCGTGTTGATAGGGTTGTCGAGTGCTGGGCGTACATGTCCCTGGGGGATGCGACAGATCTATTTGATTGAGATGCAGGCCTGCGCTGTCCCGAACAGCCGTGTGCGTCAACATCCAAAGAGGCGTTCTTACGATGGGCGGGATGAGCGAGACGGAGGTGGAACGGGGACGGGGAAGGAGGGGAAAAGGTGGAGGGAGGAGAAGGAGGGGAATTACGAAGAAGAGGAAGAGAGGGATCAGGACCAGGAGTAACACATGGGGAGAAGAGGGAGAGAAAGAGGACAGGGACGAGGCGGACGAGGTGGACGGAGGACTTCCGGGATGACCCCCCCCTGGAAGCCGGGGAGACAGAGCACGCGTCTACATGATGGTGTCACCTTCGGTGCGGGCCCCCGCGAAATGACCCTGCTAGCCCCCACCGGATGTTTGTAACACGGCCGGTGTTACCAGCCGTCGTGTGGGTCGTCGTTTTGGAGAAACGGTCCCCGCGTTCCTTCCCACCCGCCTTCCCTCCCTCCTTCCTTCCTCCTCCCCCTCCTCCCTCCTCCCATCCCTCCCTGCCTCTGCCGCGCGCATGTCCTCAGCGCTTCGTGGCCACATAGGGAGCTCCACCTAAGGTCCCAGTGGCGGTGTCCACATGCGTCTCCCCCACCCACTACGGCGTTTCGTGGCCACGTAGGGAGCTCCAACTAAGGCCCCAGCGGCGGTGCCCACATGCCTCTCCCTCACACAGTACAGCGCTTCGTGGCTCCATAGGGAGCTCCACCGAAGGTCCCAGTGGCGCTGTCCACATGCGTCTCCCCCACCCAGTACAGCGTTTCGTGGCCCCATAGGGAGCTTCACCGAAGGCCCCAGTGACGGTGTCCACATGCGTCTCCCCCACCCAGCACGGCGTTTGGTGGCCTCACAGGGAGCTCCACCTAAGGCCCGAATGGTTGCAATCGCATGCGTTCCCCCCCAATACAGGTTCTTGGCCCCACTGGGTGTTCACAGAAGGTCCCACTGGTAGTGTCCACATGCGTGTCCCCACCCAGCACTGCGTTTCGTGCCCCATACGGAGCTCCACCGACGCCCCCAGTGGCGGTGTCCAGATAAGTCTCCCCCACGCAATACGGCGTTTCGTGGCTCCCATAGGGAGCTCCACCGAAGGTCCCAGTGGCAGCGTCCACATGCGTGTCCCCCCCCAGCACGGCGTTCCGTGGCCGGCCGTAGGGCGCGCCATTGAAGACCCCAGTAGCGGTGTTCGCATGCGCCTCCCCCACCCAACGCGCGGCGTTTCGTGGTCCCATACGGAGTTCCACCGAAGGCCCCACTGGCGGTGTCCACATGCGTCTCCCCCACCTGTTGCAGCGCTTCGTGGCCCCATAGGGAAGTCCATCCAAGGCCCCAGTGGCGGTGTTCACATGCGTCTCCCCCACAGTACGGCGCTTCGTGGCCCCATAAGGAACTCCACCGAAGGCCCCAGTGGCGGTGTCCACGTGCGTCTCCCCCGCCCAGCACGGCGCAGGCGCATGCGCGCAAGCGGCCGCAATGTCTCGTGCTGTCACTGCTGGCGGCAAAGCCTGGGCTGCGGCGAGTGCTCGGACCCTGGCTCGGCGCCTTCGACGCGAACGGAGGGCGCAGCTCGGGCAGACGAAGGCCGCCGCTATGTCCTACCCGTTGCGTGGCCTCCGTGTCGCCCTCGACGCCCAGTGGCGCCTCGGAGAACGCCTGGGCGGCCACATTCCCACGCTGGGCGCCGCGATCGCGGCGGCCCGCCTGGTGGGGCTCGACGACGCGGAGCTCCAGGATACCATTGACGCCCTGGAGACTGGCAACTGGTGCCGCCACGCCCCGCCGCCATGCGCGAGCGGGATGCCGCCGCCGCCGCCTGCGGCTGTTCGGGCCGTTGTCCTCGAGCCGACGCTGAAGATGATGGCCTTTCCGCTCAACGCCGAGGCCGATCCCTTCCAGCCCCGACTTCCTGGCCATGTGAATGCAGAGCTCGCTCCTGGTTGCTGGGCACCAGCCACAGATGCGAGCCGCTACGACGACCTTCCTGATTTACATCATGGTGCTCCTGATGTTCCTGCTCCTCGAGAGCCTGCTGGTCATCGAGAGCCTGCTGGTCTTCGAGTGCCTGCTGGTCTGGGGCCTGGAAAACTCGCTGGAGATCCCGCTGGTCTTCACGATGTTCCTGCTGCTCATCGAGGGCCTGCTGGTCTTCATGATGTTCCTCCTCATCGAGGGCCTGCTGATCTTCGTGAGCCTGCTGGTCTTCGAGAGCCTGCTGGCCCTCGAGATCCTGGGGAACTCTTTCCTCATCGAGAGCCTGCTGGTCTTCAAGCTGTTCCTGCTGTACCTGTGCGCTTTCGTCTCGACGTCGACTTCCAGAGGGAGGCTGCGACGGCCGAGTCTGGCCCTTCTACTCACGTCGTTGTTCCTGGTGCTGCTTGGTGGAATGCTCGTGATGCCGTGGCGCGCGTCTGGCTCAGAGCACCTGGTCAAGCTGTTCGTGTGCATCGTCGACCTCACGCCGTCGTTCCTGGTGCTGATTGGTGGAATGCTCGGGATGCCGTGGCACGTGCCTGGCTCGTAGCACATGCTGCTCAGGCAACGCCGTTCCACTTCCCGCCGAACTTGTTCCGGCCACCAGACGATGATGACCATCTTGATCGGCCCGCTCTACGTGTCAACCGCGGGAAGCGGGCTGTCTGAGCTGTCCTCCCGTCTCCCCCACACTCCTGTCCTTGCTCTGTGATTCGGTGTGGGTGGGTGGGGGGGGTGGGGGGGGGGGGGGGTACGAGT